GGCAGCGGGGCAGTGTGCGAAAACCGCAGTCCATTGGGAGCCGGTGTCCAGTTCATCGGATCATACGCCTTTCGGACGGGGTCAGACACCCAAGGTGCCCAATCGAGCCGGTGACCACTGTCACAACCGAAACGGCGTGGGTGTGATTCGTGCGCCTCCTTTGGATTGGTTTGGAATCAGGGTTTTTAACCAACTCCCTTAGGTGAACTATCAGTGTTCCACCAACCCGGCTATAGCCCCGGATATCGGCTTTTCGTCCTCTCACTTTGGTGGGAAAACACCTCCGCCGCGAGAAGGCAGTGAGTAGGGCTTCCTCAGCAGAGGCTATTTGAGACGCTTGGTCGTATGGGGGCATTTCGTGAGGTGCAAGGGCAGGGTGACCAGCCGCAACCCTAGACATCCACCCCTGACCATACTGAGGCTTTCGGATTAAGAAGTAAAAAGGTAAGGTCCCTTGTTTTAAATGATGTACTTGGCTAATGTCAAGGCCCCAGTATGATACAAAACTTTTGAACGTTTAAGTACGTAGAAATGAACACAGGGAGGCTGAATTGGGTACACGGTTTCCACCATAGTCTATCACGGTTTTGATGATAATGCCAGGGGATAAACACAGCTAACAATTCGGACCAGAGGGTGCACATGCTCATTGTTTATACTGAGTTCTTTAGAAGGAGCCGAATTCGAGGAAACATTGTCATTGCAAACAAGTGAAGGCAGAGATAAAATAGTGTGAAATTTAGTTATAAGTCTGCCGCCCCAATTTTCAATGAAATTTCATAATTTACAATTAAAATTACAACAAAAATGAACGTCGGAGTTCATTGAAAACCTTGAATGCAGTGAAATATTAAATAATCTGGTAACTGTTTTCGGAAAAGCGTAATTCGATGCATTTGACTGGAATTATTTCAAACTCCGAAAATCCTCGCTGACAAGGATTGAGCCGCTGCTTTATCCATGAGATGAATGTTAATGGTTTTGCAAGATATGATACGGCAAGACTAAATTTTTGGAACGGTAGCTGATTATTTCGTTTCGTTTTTTCAATCTAATGGAACTTAAGTTTGGGTGCTCGGGCCTCGTCTTCACCCTAGTTCAACCATCATTTCAGAAGAAAAAGTACCGCCTGTTCGACAATTTACCCCGATCCGAAATCCGGCTTCATGTTACGACAGGCATTTTGGGTTCTCGTGTTCATTTCGTCTTCGGCTAGTTCATTGTTTATCGATCCACCAAATCTGTGCACCCATTTGGCGATCAATAAATCTATGGTCACACTCACGCAGTTCACATGGTATTCGTTCGCGTGTCTGTCTGTCTATAGCTATCATAGTTTGTTCCTTCGCGTGCACGCCTATCGAACTGGTTGCGTGGTTGTCTGCGTATAGTTCCAAAAATCGGGTCGCGCAGTCTGTATCCAGGGCTCTCGTCCGCTGAGCTGCGTCGGCAGAGACACGCACTTGATGGATGATTATCCGTCCGGGCCAATTGATGGAAGTAATAAACACCGATTGCGTTTGTTTCGTTGACATGCTTGTTTTGCATCTCTTGTCCCTTTCTGTGTGATAGCTGTGCAGTTTAGTTGATTGCTAAACTTTAGGGTGAATCAGTTATTGCAAAAGTCGTATGCTTATTGATACCACCCACGAAATGACTGCGTGTTAAAAAAAATATTTATGGTGTTTTCATTGGGTGAGAGTTATTGAATAGCCATAGAACGGTCCCTGTTTCTTGTCATTAATAATTTGGGGTTTTGGAGGTAAGCGAAGATGAGATTAAGGTAATACTTTGCAGTTATGTTGCAAGAAGACCATGACAACACACGGTTATTGTCAGCATCTCGTCTTTGGCTTTACCTACGACCGAGTGACTCTGATTGTTACGGGCATGTATAGTTATGGTTATGGTTATGGATGGAGGGTAGATGCAGATTATCAGTGTTCGAACACCGCTTTCTAAGCCGCATTGTATGAGTTTGGAGGAGCAGCCGTGCAGGCAACACCTGAGCTAGATGTGAAGTTTTTCTGATGACGGCCACATAATAACGCATGTATTTATGTTTCCTAGACTGGGACATTGGTTGCTCACTTCACTGACCAAGGTTCCTTGATGTGCAATATTTGCCGTGACAAGCATTGGTTGGAAGAAGACCAAAGGTGGTCAGAGTGACCTGTACGAAGGCATAAAAATCGTGATCAGGCGATTTGGTTATGTAGGTTGCGTCCGGCTTTCCGGTTTGGGAACTGGCGACTACAGACGCTGCATGGGTGAATATCGTAAACAATGACGCTCGCACGTCTTCTATCAGCCCACCTAGTTTTGGGTCTACGTTATCAGTCTTTGTCTGGGTACCGCTTTGAAGTTTTTATCCCTTCCATTTACTTATCCTTTGGTCTATTTAATAAGTAGCCGTGAGAGGGCAATCAAAACCGTTGCAGCAAGGTGCAAAGTTAATGGATGTGCAAACTGAAACCGTAATTGATGTATCCGTTCTAACGGAACGGTCTTGCTAACCAAGAATTCATTTGGATAGTTATCACTTATTACTGATGATCTGCGAAAATGAAGTGAATGCCGATCTGGCCTATTCATTTGTTTTCATTAAGATTTATTGTCGATCTATAGCTAGTTGGCAGTCGTATGTTGAACTAAAAGCTAAATTTTTAAACGTTCATTTTTAATAATCTCATCCATTCACTTCACTTTATTTGTACTTCTTAATCAGGGTTACGTCTCGTCCACCGCCTAAAGGTACTATGACCAAGAGGCTAATAGTTGAACCTCTCATTTTTGTTTTTTGCTCCATGATTTATATGTATGTACTCATCTGCAAGGCGAAGACAGACAGTGTGCCATTACTTCACACATCAAAAGTGAGGGTCAACACAACGAACTGGGTTGTGTTTAGTTTGTGTCCGCCTCCATAGTAATGTCAGTGTTGTTGGCTGTTGTCCTACAAAGTTAACAAATTTAAATTACTAAGTTGGCTTACGTGTCTTCCACCATAGATCGGCGCTTCCAGTATCTTGTCCACCGGATTATATTCCTTCCCACCGAGGGGCCACATTTAGAGCACTTAATACACCCCATTGAACAACTGATCGTGCAACCTTCCTAGCCCTGTGGTGTTGGAGTTACTTCGTCACACGTCTTATCACGGTTGGTTTGAAATCAAGGTTTTCCAAACGGCCTAAACAAGCTAGGTGCTCGGGGCTTGTAAGCTACGCTGTGATTTCGGTGGTTCTCTTTCTTCAGTCATGAGAATGTGAGACGTAAAACCCCTTCAGCAGGGGTTGTAAATGCAGGCCACCTTGGGGCATTTCGAAAGAGCCCGGATGGTAAAGCCAGTTACCAGAATTCCTACTTTTGATATCTGCTTCATGATGGTGATGCTGTTCGTGATGGTAACATGATCATGATTCGAGGTCAACAAAGTGATAAAAGTGTCGCAATCTTAACTTGATTGTAGACCATGAAACACGCTCCATTTGATATGATGGATCGTGTTTCGAATTTCACAATCAATTTTCTCATTTAAGTGTGATGATTCAGTTTGGTGCCTCAACCTCCGTTGACCCCAATGTGTAAGATCACGAAACTAACTGCAACATGCAACAAACGCCTAATGCCGACAACAAATTTACGGACATTTATCCAACAGTTATGTGTCAAAGGTCATGGTCAGGTCACTTAAATATAACCGTATTGTATGTCACTACACTGAAGTTACATGATGATCTCGCTCACTCGGTTTTCGCAGTTAGTGATGATAAGCTCCTGTTTTGTGGTCGAATGGTCGGGTCGTCAAAATAACCGCTTAAGTTTCATGAGTTCCAACCCCGCCACGGCCACCCAGCTTTCATAGGTGGGGACCTCGGGATCACCGTAATCAATGGTTAGAGACACCGAGTGAAGTGGCTGGGAGTCGTAAACGGTGGTGTTCGTGCATCTTCTCAAAGCTATCGTACGAGGGGTGCCACATTTTTCACATATTTCAAAAAGAATTCACTTACCTCAGTTATTATTGTTATACTGCTCACCTCTTCTGTTGCTTTTGTTGCATAATTCTATGTCGTGAAACACCCAGCGAATGAATAAAAAATCGTTTCTCCCTGGGCGTTATTAACTAGCAGGTGTATTTTTATGAGGAAGCCAGACTATTTTGTAAGTGTGCTACTCATCCGAAGATGGACGGGATGTTCAGCTAACAAACTTTTCCTGGTGACCTCATTACCGCTAGTGAAGATAGAACTGGTCATTGTGCAATTTGAGCAGCATGAATTTTAGCCCAAAACTAAGTTGGCTGTTTCCTCGTTTCCCTTGCTTTACCGTAGTTGATAGGATTGTTGATCGCAACTCAGCGGCCGGACACGAGTGGGGCGTCATGCTGTTAATTTATAACATAAAAAATGTGTCCCGCTCATGTTTATGCAGATGTTCGATATATCATGACACCGGTAACCTTTTGTATCTACTTATTGAGCCTACTACTTCACAGTCTTCCGTTGGACATAAGCAAAACTCCTTACGGAAAACCTATCGAAATATCATCTGCATTTACCTATTTGTTGGCTGTTGACCACTGAGGGATTTCGTAATCTTTTCGAACACATAGCAGAAGCCAAATTTTCCACCAAATATAACCGCCTAGGATAGGCTCGAAGTCCTTCAATTTTCCGTTGCATGGCAATAAAATGTTATTCATATTAATGCGCGAACCGGTTATGTCAATCAATCTTTTTTCATGCTTGAGCCAGCTAAATTTTGACTGCTGTGCAGATCGAATTTAGCTTTGATCCCGAAAGTCGAACCATGTAGCACGCAAATAGGGTGTGATAAGTTTGGCGGCACGTAGTCATATTTGGGTGGCACCACAGTTGCTGGCTATGGAAGGATGGTAATTGATAACCCGATACGTTGCAACGAACCATCGCATTGCTCATCGGATGCCTATTTTTTGGCTTGCTGGTCACATCATTCTCTCGATTTCTTTTCAGCTACAAGCATGCGATCGACGGCATTATTCAGGTTATCAAAAAAGAAGGCACAATGAAGTTGTTTAGCGGTGTCAGTATGACCTCGCTTAGGGCAGCGTTTATGACATTCGGACAATTGGCATTCTATGACAAATTCAAAATATTATTGATCAACACCGGCTATTTCGATGACAAACCTTTGACACACATGATGGCCAGTGCAAGCGCGGTACGTTACCATATTGGTCTGAATTGATCATTTTTACCTTCTTAGACTTCCTCTCATTTCACCGTTTTTCACGTTATGCGATGCCAGTTATTTGAATGAGAAATAAAGGTGTTTTAAATGCTTACTGTCCTCCTCATTAAGCTAGGTCTTGGCGCCATAAATACATGTTGGCTCATATAAACACGAATTATTTGCCCAACAGTTATCTTTATTACTATCTAGCTTTATAACACGTAAACGCCTGTGGTGTACGGGGACGGAAGGTTCCTCTCATTTAAATGCTTATATATACTCACAAGGGACCATGATCGTAGCAGTCTTCAACCTGAAATCAATTTTTGACAACTAACCTAGCTTCGCATTAGAGAGCTTGACTTCAAGGGTGGGAGATTGAAACCATTCAGCTCCTGACCATCAGTTTGCCTACGAATTGGAGCGCGTGGCTAAGTTGATGACTGACTTGTCGCTTTTCAAATCAAACTTTTCCGACTCGTTAGAACGCATTTCGTGTCATACCTGTCTTGCTCACTCTAGAATTCATATTCCGCACTTCTCTGTTGTTTGCTTTCCAGGCTGGCGTAGCAACTTGCATTACTCAACCGTTTGATGTCATGAAAACTCGCCTAATGAACGCTCCGCCGGGAAAATATTCGGTAAGCTTCACCTTTCGTATATTACGCCTTGTTATAAACACAGCTCGCAGTCAGTTTCTTTTCAAGCCAGTTCTTTCACTATTTTGTCTTTTAACATTTGGAAAGCGGAATATTCAATACACGACCAGTTTTCATTATTTTATTTCCCTTTACTGATCGTGAGTTACTTCGAAATAGACACTTCAATTCATATGATGGTTCAATGTAGAATAACACATTCGGAGGCAAACTTCATGGACCATTGCTCCATGAATCAAAGCCGTTTATCATCGCGTATATTAAATTATTCACCCTTTTCCCGGACCCCCACTTTTGGTTGTTTACACAAGTCTGTACTTGTATAACTTTTGCAAGCTGAAATATGCTTACATTTCAGTTAAAAATTGTATACTGGTCGTCACACCGGAGAAAATATAGATGCATAAACAAACTCAATAGTGCAGTGTAAAAAATAAATGTCTCTAAAGTTTGGTTCATTCGATGAAAGATTGACGTAATTCATTTATAACTCTTTCCTTGTTGGTCAAGATGCGAGCCACATACGGTACAGTGCAGTTTTTATATATGTTTATTCGGGAGGGTAGGTACCGGTAAGGGGAACGAGTGGTCGAGTGGGAGCGACAAGAAGATAAAACAAAATGTAAAGGATGGATGGGGTCGTTTAGAATCTTATTGGCCAAGGTCATACAAGACTTTATATGACCATTAATAAGTTCTGTGATTAATGACTCGGCAGAAATTAAGGATGCACGGCTTATTATCATTAATCCACGACGGACAGTTTTAAAGTCTTGTTTCAATAGACCGGGAAATACTACAGGGGAGCAGTAAAGTAAAATACGGAGAACGTATTGCTTAACAAAACAGAACAAAACTTGTTGGGGTATGTGAAATTGTCTGAGTTATCGGAGCTGAAGGGAGAGGCGCCGAAGTTTTCCCATACAGTTCTGTGTGTCGACCACCGAATTTTATTATCGATAGTAACACCCAGATATTTGGCTGAGGTCACTCTAGACAAAAGGTTACTATTAAGGGCTATAGAGTCTGACGAGAATGTAGGGCGGGAAGAACTAAAAATACACNGGCTATGTTAAGATTAAGGCCAGACTAGTTTGAAAATTGTTCGATTTCTGGACAGAATTTCAGTGAAGGTAGAAAATTCCGAAGAAGAAGAAACGGTCTGACATAAAGCGACATTGTCAACATACTTTTGGATATGAGCAGAGTGTGGAACTGAGAGATCACTAATGAAAGCAGAGAAAAGATACAGAGAGAGGACAGCACCTTGAAGCACCAGAATTATTGACTAGAGGACTTGAGGTAGTCCTGCCCAACTTTGTGCACTGGATTCTGTCGGTGATTTAATCAGAAAGCCATGAAAGCAGCTGTCTCGGGGTGCCAAAAGATTCAAGTTCAAAAAGGAGGGATAACCGGGATGCAGAATCAAAAGCAGACAAATAATCGAGAAAAACGCAACGAAAAGATTTGGCGAAGCTGTTCAAAGTAGACCAGAGTAGACACAGCATCCAAGTGGATCTGTTGGGTTTATACGCGAACTGAAGAGGATCATGGGGAATGATGACAATTGACTGTAAGCGACTCAGGATGGCTTTCTTAATCAAATTTAGAACTACAGACGTCAATGCGATGGGACGAAAACGCTTCGCAAGAACGGTTAAGGATGGGGTCTTTGGAACAGGTATTATGGTCACTGATCGCCAGGAATCGGGGATCATCTGTGCAGAAAAAGACTCGTTGATGAGGGATGTCATCATACTAGTTAGAGGGGCTGCTCCAAACTTGATAAACGCTGGAGAAAGACCGTCAGGGTCCACAGATGACGATGGTTCGAAGGAACGTAGAACCTTAAAAATTTCGTCATTAAAAAAAGGGAACAGGTCAGAATTGGAAACCTCACATGGGAAAGAGAGTATCTGGGTATCTTTAGACTTACATCAACATCACTGTTCACGTTTTTCCTTTTTGTCCGCAGAGAAGACGAATTCCTTGCCATAGAAGCCTTGTGTTTTTCGTTTGCAGGATTTGGGAAGCGAACATCTTGTTTGCACGTCTTATCTCGCCTTAATTAAGTTAGAGTAGTAGTTTACAGCAGATGAATGGTGGGATTTATAAGATCGTTCCTTTTACCTTCGTAATGAGTTCAAAAGAAGAGATGCAATTTTGCCGTTGCAAAAAACACCGTTTCCATGGGACAGCAAAAGTGAAACATCGATTTCAGCGTTTCGGTGACAAAATCGACACAGTTAAGAAGTGATGAACAAGAAGCAAACCATGATTGGGCAACGACAGAGAAGAGAAATGCGTGTTAATGAAAAGTTGCTGAGATGAAACCTTATCTGGCCTTAACAGGAGAACACAATGATCACTGGTAGCGGCTGGGGCCATTCGCTTGAGAGAAAACAAAGTGAGATGGTTTGTGATTACTCTGTCCAGTATAGAGCTGCCTCTGGTAAGAGCATGAGACAAATCGGATAAGCCAAAAGAAAGCAAAGGAAAAATGCTTGCATGGTTGAAGTCACCAACAGCCAAATGAGGATTTTCATCTAATATTGGAACCAAAAACGAGATGTAATGATCAGAGAAAGAAGATATATCTGATCAGGAGCACGAAGGAGGTATATGCAGATTAGTAATAATTGTACTTTTATATCGGGAAAATCCGGGATGACAACAAACGGATAAACACTCAATGAATTTTTCAGAATAGCTGATGTACGTTGCCACACCGCATCCAGTTTTCTTGCTGCTATGGCGTCTATCCTGTCGGTAACAGTCGAAGCAATCTATCTGCACGAGTGCATCCTCAACGTTTTGATTTAACCAGGCTTCTTGTATGCATAGGACACATGTGTTGGAATGTATGCGTGTGTTCATTGAGGAAGTTAAATCCGATATCTTTGCGGAGAGAGAGAGCGACCGTTGGTACTGACCAATGACGGCACGGTTATCTTGGCAGGAGGAGTGCTATTAAGCGCACACTGCCATCCAGCACACTTGCGCTTCGTGATCCAAGCATTATTGCCATATTCTCCAAGCATATTGTTTGTATGGACACAGAATTAACAGATTTCAATCTAAGCGTATCCTGACGGCAGTCAGTATGGGTTCGCAAAATGTTTGACATCGAAATAACCATAAAATCCAGTGGGACGACTAGCACACAAAATGTAGCGCAGCCAATCGAAGGACACGCTTCAGGTAGTCTGTCTGAGAGGTGACTCATAATTTGCCAGGTTGTTTGCCACCCCCTCCCGGGTAAGCGTTACAGGGCTGAAAGTTCTAACAAGTAATCATCCGAATCCTGTGTTTCCACAGGGGAGTTTAGGTCATTGTTCATATCGGACAGACTCCATGCTTGATCGCGGACTTATTTGCGAAAACAACTGGTAGATCAGTCACACAGCGGATCTTTATTTTAAAACGTCATGAATGTTTATTTAGCGGATCGATTCTGTTACTATGCCGTTGGTTTTGTCTTTCCGCTATCGCCACATATGAATTGGTTGCTATCTTTATTACTAAACTTCGTTGAATTAACACGTACCTCGCGTTTGATCTTGAACGCTAACAACGGTTGCCATTCCGCTGATCTCATTGCCATCTTTTTTTCACACTTCAGGGCTTGGTTAGCTGCGGCCTGGATATTGCCGTAACCGGACCGCTGGGCTTCTTCAAAGGACTGGTACCTGCATTTATCCGTCTTGCCCCCCACACGGTACTCACATTCGTCTTTCTGGAGCAACTGAAGGTACACTTCGGCTACGTGCCAGTTACCAAATCCACGCCTTAATGCTCAAGCCTCCTCCGGACACAAGAGCTTCATGTTCCAATCATTTGATTTCCTACCGAATCACTTAGGTCATCTACCTTCAAGTTGCTGCTCCACCTCTTCCGTTGTTGTCGGAAATTCGGTCATTTTCGGTGTATGCCTGAATTTGTTTGATAGTTTTCAACACCTCGGTTCTCCAATTTCATTCAGTCTGTTTGTGATATTGCTTTCCTGTCCGGTTATTTACCGAGTTGCAGCTCGCAGATGAAAAACTCTTATAAAGATATATAAATAGGTTTTCCGCCCTATTCGGTACTTTGCTGTTCCAACAAAACTGCTTATTCTCTTGTTCTCCCAATGTCACTTCCGGATTTGGCGTTCTCCGTGTTCGAAAAAAGTCGACGATTGCGTTTCCCTACATCATTGTCTAAACGAAGACCCGGTTTTTTATGGGGAATTCCAACCCAAACAGTTTCGTTATTTGTAGGCGTTTCGTGTATTTTCTCCCTATCTTGTCTTGAATCCTCACTTTCGTCCATAACCCATCCCCTGTTTTCGTCTGTTGGTTTACCTTCACTGTTCACAGCATCGTGTTGTGTACGGATGTATTCACATAGAGATATTTAGTGGGAATATGATAGAAGCTTACATTTTTTGATTATTTACAGCTTTTCTCTTATTGCATTGTTGGGTTCTTTGGATAAAAAAACCTTTGCTGAGAAATGGGTGCTTGTGCAGTGCATTATTTAGGTGTTGTTAGTCCGAGTCGTGTTTACCCATTTACGTGTTCTCGTGGAACAGCGTGCATAGGGTCGCACGGTCAGGCGTTTGTCCGAACAAATCCGTGAACACCACTTCTCATGGTTAAATGCTGGAACAGGTCACTCACTAGTACGGTGGTTCCACACCTACTTGAAACAAATCACAGGATGTGACCGAAACATTTCGTCCGGTATTGGGTTTGCGGTCGACTATCACAT